AAATTTGCGATAGACATCTGATATTTTCCCTAGTGTCTCTATAGCAAGGCATTTTCTATAATATGACTACATATTAGCACATCGTTAGAAAATTTACTGAGTGACCTTAAATCACAGTTTTCCAACATTCTTAGTGTTATCATTCAAACTGCATCTTGTATCTGTCAGCAAACAGCATTTTCCGAGTGGAGCACTGTGCTTGAAAAAGTATACATTTAAAAAATATGTCATAGTGCTTAACAACGGTTTTAGCGTAACGTTTTTCACTCTGACATCGATCCGACTGCTGCCGCCTCGAAAAATACTATGTTCTGTATGTAAGTTTTTCCTGCTTTTTTTCTTGTTGCGATTATTGCGATATCGCTGGGGGAGAGGACATTTGATTTCTAAGGATTAATAAGAAGGTAATAACTAGAAGAACCCTGACTTACTCGTAATGTAGTTGGGAAAACTGTGTAGTGTCTAGTTTGACGGCAGTTGCTTTTTTCCGCAAAAAAATTCGTTTCAATGGTGTTGAATGTCTTCTTCCGAGTCGTTTGTGATTTTAGAGAAGCAAACAGAACGAACAACAACTTTTTTATGTTGGAATGAAGGACTATTTGCACAATGAGAGAAATGTATATAAAATTACCTTTTCTCTTTCGTCTTCTTTTGCATTCTTTCGAAGAACAAATGAAAAAAAAACAGAGTAGTTAAAAATAGACACTCAAATAGTTGCTGTAGAAAAAGGCATCTTGAGGGCGAGGGTGAGGGTGTGGGTGAGGGTGAGGGTGAGGGTGTGGGTGAGGGTGAGGGTGTGGGTGAGGGTGAGGGTGAGGGTGTGGGTGAGGGTGAGGGTGTGGGTGAGGGTGAGGGTGTGGGTGAGGGTGAGGGTGTGGGTGTGGGTATGGGTGAGGGTGTGATCATGGGTGAGAGCAGCTACCAAGACACGCGTGTTGGCTTTCCTAAGAGTGTTATCGGTTGAGTTTATATCTTTAGTTTGATTCAATATATGGCTGTGTGAGATTAGCTGAGGGTGTGTCTATTATATAGATATAGAAAATCCCTACGATCTAAATTGCGATCTCTTTTAAGGGTCTGCCGTCAGATAGGGTTTCACTTGAGCATAGAAAATTCAAAAATATGGAAGTTTATCTTGTTTTGCGAATAATGGCGTATAGTTTTGTTTATCAGTATAGTTGGCCTGAATTATGGATATCATTGGTTCTGTTTGTCGTCGTAAAGATTTCATGGAAGAGTTATATGAGAAGATGTTTGAGGCAGTATGAAACATCTTAAAAGTAACACAAGATTGTTGATGTAACGACAAACTAGTTGAGTAGCTGACCGCTTCTCATGGTATAGATGTTTATTGACTACTCTACGTGACCAGAATGTGTCTACTTCACAATAAGTCACACGCTTATATAGAGAAGAGGAAAGAAAGATATGACCCGGAGATAGTATGATATGGAGGTGAGAGAATAAAGAACAGAAAGAGATGAACGATATCATTATCGTTACAATATTCATTGAGCATCTTTTTTTCGAAATTTATACCTTTGTTATACATGTACTGGCGAATATTTAATGAATATGAAAGAATAGATTATACTTTTCGCTAAATTTGAAGATTCTGACCATGGATTATCAATAAGGCAACGCATGTAACACTATGGATATCGAATTGTGCTAATATGAGGCTCCTTTTTGCGATTATCTATAACTGCGATTCTTTTTGGCATAGTTGCGCGCAGCTGCGTCGCAATCTGACCGCAATAGCAAACATGGGTAGTGTCGTAGGCATCATAGAACGACCATTGGATCGCATCTTTGACACAAAGGTTCAGAAGATGGGAGCGGCAGTATACGTACATGGGCCAGACTGAGAGACGACTACGAATATGGCCTTGAGCCTGATAGCGCATTGATGAGGCTCCATCGTATGTCTGAGCGGTGATAATAAATGTTTTTTCTGCAGCCTTCTCCAATTTGTCGATAAATTCTTCGACCACCCGGAAAACTCCTACAAACACAAATTACACGATGAAACTCTCAGCAACGAGAATGCTTTTTGGGATACAGGAATCGTTCGATTTAAGCGCGAATGTGTAGAAGAACTTCAACTGCAAACTGTCGAATAGTTCAGCTTTCACACACCACTTTACATGAAACGTATCCAGTAGTCTTACACATCAGCTCACCGATGATGGTACCTCTGCTCTCGACTATCTTCGATGCCACTCGTCGTTCATGGCATAGTCGGTGTAGGTCACTGTTTTTGTGCAGTCGAATGTCTGAAATGCTATACTGATCTTTCTTCCGTCGAAACGCTATGGTCTATACCTTCTAGTCCCTTCTGTTTCAATTTCCAATAAGTGTGACGATCTTTTTCGCAAGCTATTTGTCCCTACTCCGGTGCATTTTTGTGTACTTTGGCATTATCCTTCCTTCCTTCCTTCCTTTCTATCGAGAGAGGGGTATATAAACGTGTGTTCTGTATTAGAATGGTGCGATTGATGATAGGAAGAAATAAAGAAAGACATGATTTCATCGGGATACACATCTCCTACATCAGAAATCATCACAATACGCCATTCTCATAGAAATACAGATGCGTTGTTAATTTTTGTGTTTGACTTGGCTCAAGAGATCTTTCAACTCTTCTAACAAGTAATCCATCTCCATTACAAGCTTCATCTCACAATAAGTTGGAGAACAATTCAGCACCTCTTGGTTTGGTCAATTGAAAAATTACATACATTAAGATTCCACTAAATAAAGCTGCACTACTCCGTATTAAACAATTTTTGTCGATTTTTCAAAGCGATTTCTTACATTTATTTTTATTTTCATATATTAGTCTGTTTCGCCAACAGTACAACGGTGAGAAAAAATAAAAATCAATTCATTAGCCAAGCGTACGAGCAGAATATTAATTTGGAAAGAAACTAAAATTCATTGTTATCTAAAAGCGAACTGTTCCAGTGCACCTGACATGCAGCAAAAAAAAAGAATTACAAAAAAATCACCATTATCTGATATTCGATGTAAACAGATTACACGATAGCTAGATGAATTTCTTTAGTCACTATTTGGCAACAATAATGAGATGTTTTTATTCGATCCTTTACGAAACTCCACTTTATCGACACCACCTGAAATAATATTGATGATGTGGTTGTGCTTATCAATTTGTGCAGAGACATATCGCTGAACGTCCACCGTAAAATTCGATCTGAAAGAACAATTACAACACATCACAACTTGAAATAGAAGCAAAGTTACATACGATTTGCGTTTGAGTTTAGCAATAAGACCAACAAATTCACCCACACGATCAAGTTTTGTATGCATGTAAAAGACTAAATCATTATTCGATACCAAGTGAACGGCAATCAGTTGTTCTTTGCCTGATGTAACACTTAAACCAGTAATATCGTTGATTGATATACCCGTCTTTTTCATATGAAAATTCTTGCGTGGATCTAACTTGTAGAGATATTTGTCCGTCAGAACAATCGCACGTTCATCCATTTTGATGCGACTGTGTAACTAAACCGATGTTCGATAGTGAATATGGAGAATTGTCTTTGTAAAAGCCTACCTTTATTGCCAACGTCGAGAATAACATCTGATCAAAACCTTATTTACCACGTAGTTCACTGATTGATTTACGATATTCAATTGAATGTGCGTTCTCCTCAGGCTGAACAAACAAGTAACGCTCATCCTTTGGATTCGCTGACCCTTTTCTGAAAGACTTTTCCGAATGCTGAACACATTCAGAGACTTCGAAAGAGAAAAAGCGCACTGCGATTCCTACTAGTGCTCAACTGAATCATGGCACTATGTCACACATTAGAATAAATAGGATGCAAAAGTCTTTTTAGGGATCAGACCGATTAGCCATTTGTCAGTGGATAATTCTCCAGCACTCACTATGTTGACTGAAAAATTCATCGCTCAACAGCTAGTCAGATGGCCACTCACGGCCAACCATTGACCTTTGTCATCTGTTTTTCTATTTTCACATCACGCGCATGGAAATTTTCATAAATGCTTTACTAAATCACTCATAGACGGATGATATACAGTAGACTACTTGAAAAGTTTGAACATTCGCCTGTGTCTTCCAGCGATAATCCGATTCTTTTCTCTCCTGTCAACAAAATGATACCTTGTCGAACATTTTCATTGAGGAATATCCATTCGTCAAATCCCTTTCAAAATTATCTGAAGCCTGGAAGGTTATTCTAAGCGTACACTTTAGGATTAATCTAGCATTTAAACGCCTAGTCGTTCGTCGACCTCCCTCCGGTCGGTCACTCACGGCTAACGGTTGCCATGCTGTCTCTGTTATTCCTTTCGCCTTTGATCAACTTCCAAACTGAACGATTAGGTTTTCTTTTATTGTCGCTTCGACAGTCACGATCTTCTATTCATTCGACTACCCAAAGAAACTAGATAAGAAAGTCTTATTATATGATTTGCTTAGAAACGAGCATCTTTCATAGCGCTGCATGTGTTCAGAATACTGTTTCTACAGTCCACGCGTGTGTAGTCACTAAGGTGGAATTCCACCGACGGCTGTATCGCTTTGCGAACTACTTCTACTAAATTCCCACGAAAACACATGATGTATGTAGCCTACAAAGCAATGATACTAAGCTCATATCACTTATTCGAATTTCTTGAATTAGAAACATCATTATGTACAATGCATTAGATCTTTTCGTGTAAGTTCTTGAGCTACTATCTTTGTACACATGACGTCCGTGGATAGCGTTCAGCTCACCGTCTTCTGCAAAAGATTTTAGAACAGATGAAGAAAAATACCTCCTTTGTAAAGAGGAAGGAATAAGCCCAGGGTCAGCGAATGAGACGAAATTCACCCTGAAATTCGAATTTCCCGACGTCAGAAACCCTTCGGTCTATTCTGGCAATAGATGTTAATAAGTCGTGACTAGTTAATGAAAAATTAATCATGCAACACTAACCTGGGATTCGAGAACCTCGACCTCAATTACCCTTCAGTCGACCCTTACTCGACAACGAAGAAAATTTTCATTGCTTAATTAGCTAATGAGCTACTTAGAATTTCGAGAAACTAACCTCAGCTTCGAGTTCCTCGACTCCGATTACCCTTCGGCCAACCCTTATAAAAAAATTTTTTCTCAAAAAAAAGTGATGCTTTGTCCCAAAAAAGGAACAAAAAGGTTTCTCGAAAAACCAATCACGAATTCGAGTTCCTCGACCCCGAAAACCTTTCATCAATCGTTTGCTAATGACCATGGTTAAGTTTTTATTCATTTATTGAATGCTGCAATCTGATTGGATTATGCAAACAAGCAAGCAAACTTTTTGCATTTCAACGACCAGATTTATGACGCTAGGGCCCTTTCTTTCACAAAAGGGAACATCAATTATAGGATAGACAGGTTAAATCAACAAGATTTTCGTTTTTTTTCGCTATATGACTTCAATTACAATATACGTGATAGGATGCAAGGGAGAGTGATTTTTTATTTTTTCTTCCTCGGTCGTGCAGCAACGCACATGCGCCAATGATCGGTGCGCAGGCAGGTGCATATTTTTCTTAGCCTATATGAAGAAATAGGTGATAAAATAACGCTTACGCATTATCTATCTCTATTTTCCACAAGGCACTCTAACTATTGATGTCTTGCAAAGTTTATACGTACATTCTTCGTACTGCCAAAAGCGTGGACAATTTCAAAATCCAGGCGATATTTGACAATAACATCAAGACCGATTTCGAAACCCATGCCTTACTCGATAATCAAGCTGACCCTGGCATATTTATGTATCGATTACAATACACTCTAAAACGTGACGAAAATGATACACTTAGTATGCAACATGAGAATGACTGGAAGAAAGTAGAGTTTTATGAATTATACATCCCGGGAATTTTTTCGCTAACTCCATACTGTGAAGCGCCTAAGCAGCAGCGTAAAGTGGAATACCCTGATAAGGAAGTTTGGCATTATGCACTATTTGATGTTGATTTTGAGAAATCACTTATATCAAATCCTCCAGGTAGGATTTTATCAAAAGCAATAGAAAACTTATAATTCAAGTACAAAAATTATGTTTGATTTTCTTTTACTTAGGATCTTCCTTGCCATTTTGGAATCAATTCTGCTTATTTACTTACTATTTTATGCAGCACAAAGCAGATGATGCTTGTGAGCTTGTTTTTAGTCAGTTTGTGGCTCTACATTCTGAAAATGATCTTCGTACAGATCAACTTACTGCTTTCTTCCAAACATGCAATAATTACAAATCTTGTATTCCAAAAAGTCCGATCAGATATGTGAAAAATACTGAAATACTAATTCGAATGATTGGCATTTTACCTGTTAACGAAAATAACATTGATGTACTTGGTTTAAGATCAAATGGTGACGTATCATCTATATTGAGTTGTATATTCAAACATTGGGATAGTGCCGTTGACTCAGTGTCTAATGATAATCCTGAATTCTTTGAGAACTATGTTGCAAAAGTCTTATGTTTGAAATTATGGTCAATAGCAGAATTCAAAGAAAATATGGAGGATACAAGTGAAGAAGCTATTGAATTGATACGATGCATTCGGGATGAAGAAAAACAAAAAAAAAACGGTAAATGGCATGTTGACATTACTGGCTGAAATTAACAATCCAATCGAAGGATCAGAGTGGACCAGCTTATTCAGCTTAGCTCAACCAAATCAACTTACATTCAAACATCTTCATCTAATTACATCAATCGATGTCTATTTGAAGTATCTGATTCAAGTTGCAACGATAGAACGGTCGGAAAATGCCGATATGAAGAGCAAGATTATTCAGTCAATTCAAGATTTTGTAACAAAGAGTCATTTTTCGTGTAAGTCAACTTAACAACAGTTTCTGAATGAGTCAGTTATTACTTTCATGCTTAGTGTATATTTATAAAGAAGTGCGTTTGTAACTTTCGTCGTTCACTGTGTAGTCAGTATGTGTGATAGACGTAGGATATCTTGGCTTCAGATTCGACTTTGTCTGAAGCCGATTTGTATGAGGGTGAGTTTCAACTCTAGTCGCCCTGGGTTCAAGCGGAACCCGATGAGCTGCATCGATTCCAATTATAAAATTTTTCTCCCACACCCAATATCCTCACATCCTCAATTTTCTCTCAAAACGACGTGTAAGAGTGCATATTTTGTTGTTACTATAGTCAAAATTTTGGTGTGAACTCGAACCAGCCGTTTCCATCAAATAATTTATCAATACTAGGAAATATTAATAATTGTGCTCTTTTAGTTGATCTCAGAATTATACATTTTCTACTTCGATTTGAACAACGTCAATTAACAGTTGATCATCAAAATTCTGCTGATATTGACGAAAAAATTCGGATCGAAATCAAAGATAATGATAACTTGAGAAAAAGAATTTGCGATTACTTATATAAAATGGCTCTCACCATCGACAATTTCAAAAGTGTTAGAACAATTATGGATTTTAAATCACGTTCGCAATTATTGCATGATTTCAACCGGCAATGCTTTCTACTTGAGTCATTGAAGAAAAATATATCCGAATCATCTCATTATTATTGTGAATGGTTTTCATGTTTTATTATGAATGATACTTATTCAATGAACGTCGATCAACAGCGACAAGACTATGAACAACTTGTAAAGGAATGGACATCATGTGTTGAGAGAGATATTCACATATTTGGTGCAGTGCTCAAAGAACTTGATAAATTAATAGAATCTTTGCAATCAATGACGAACAACGATGACAAAAACAAATGTTGTGAAATCTTCATTAATCATTTGGTTGATATTTGCTGCAAAACAGGTAACGTTTAAACAAGTTTTACACTGAACACTCACCACATAGGTGTGCAAACAATACGAGCTTTGACCATTCTTTAATTGTGTTCTGTGTATATATCTGTTTTCAACGAACTAAATATTTATCAGTAATCGTAATATGATGATAATCTCGTTTGTTTAGATTCAATTTTCCAATTACTTCAAAGCGGTCTTGCTCATGTGAAAAATAAATCTTTCATTGACGCATTCAAAACGAAATTTATTGACAAAATTTCAAAGGATATGAAAGCCGATGATTTAAAACGTTTCGATTTGTATCAAAACCAATTAAGACAACTGTTTGAAATCGGTAACAATGACGAACAAAACAATCAACTTGTGATTGACTTGATTGAACGAGCATTGACAAACGTTTCTATATCTGAAAATGATATTCTCGAATATGCTATCTTAAAGCCTGATAGATCAACACTTATCTATCATATATTGTCTCATAATTGCTATAAAAAATTATCAATTTTTGAAATAGTCATTAAACAAATGGATACTCTGTGGACTCAGTGGGATCAGCAAGGAATATATGCGTCTCATATAATGGCCTGGAAGAAACAAACAGACGAACAACGAAGTGTAGCGAATCAATTATGGAGTGCTGTTAAAAACAAAGTGGGAACATTTGAAGAAATGTTAATGAAAGCAGACACCGACTTAGAGAATAAGAAGAGCATATGTGAGAAAACTGAAGTTTGTATCAAAGCGTATTGCAAAAAAGCTTCTGACAATCAAAAGATCATCGGAGAAATACACATTACGAAGGATGAACTAAGAAAAACCAAGGTGCAATCTGTTCAAATTCCTCAATCTATTCAACAAATTCATAGTTACGTCGATCTACTTGTTCCATATACAAAATGTGAAATTTGGAAAGATTTTCTCCAAAAAAACCAAGATAAAATGATTTGTAAGTTTTGAAATTTTCAGAATATATCAATAGCAAAAAACTATGATGTCGTCGTTTTAGTGCCATCAAAAACACAAATATCTTGTCATTCAATTTTGTTCAAATCTGATGAACTTTTTAATACATTCGTTAGTGAAATTATAACTATTTGTTCAAATTGGAAAAGTCGATCAATCTCACAATTGCAAGAAATATTTCCAAACATGCACAGTGATTTAGATCCATTAAAACAGAAATTAAATACTGATATCATTAACTTTTTTACACTTTTATTTCAATATAAAAAATCTTCAAAAGATTTAAATTATATTTGTCAAGGATACATAAACTTATCCGAATTCTTCCAAATACAATTCAATGATCATCAAAATTTACTATCTAATATGNGGATCAGAGTGGACCAGCTTATTCAGCTTAGCTCAACCAAATCAACTTACATTCAAACATCTTCATCTAATTACATCAATCGATGTCTATTTGAAGTATCTGATTCAAGTTGCAACGATAGAACGCTCGGAAAATGCTGATATGAAGAGCAAGATTATTCAGTCAATTCAAGATTTTGTAACAAAGAGTCATTTCTCGTGTAAGTCAACTTAACAGCAGTTTCTGAATGAGTCAGTTATTACTTTTATGCTTAGTGTATATTTATAAAGAAGTGCGTTTGTAACTTTCGGCGTTCACTGTGTAGTCAGTACGTGTGATAGACGTAGGATATCTTGGCTTCAGATTCGACTTTGTCTGAAGCCGATTTGTATGAGAGTGAGTTTCAACTCTAGTCGCTCTGGGTTCAAGTGGAACCCGATGAGCTGCATCGATTCCAATTGTAAAATTTTTCCCCCACACCCAATATCCTCACATCCTCAATTTTCTCTCAAAACGACGCGTAAGAGTACATATTTTATTGTTACTATAGTCAAAATTGTGGTGTGAACTCGAACTAGCCGTTTCCATCAAATAATTTATCAATACTAGGAAATATTAATAATTGTGCTCTTTTAGTTAATCTCAGAATTATACATTTTCTACTTCGATTTGAACAACGTCAATTAACAGTTGATCATCAAAGTTCTGCTGATATTGACGAAAAAATTCGGATCGAAATCAAAGACAATGATAACTTGAGAAAAAGAATTTGCGATTACTTATATAAAATGGCTCTTACCATCGACAATTTCAAAAGTGTTAGAACAATTATGGATTTTAAATCACGTTCGCAATTATTGCATGATTTCAACCGGCAACGCTTTCTACTTGAGTCATTGAAGAAAAATATATCCGAATCATCTCATTATTATTGTGAGTGGTTTTCATGTTTTATTATGAATGATACTTATTCAATGAACGTCGATCAACAGCGACAAGACTATGAACAACTTGTAAAGGAATGGACATCATGTGTTGAGAGAGATATTCACATATTCGGTGCAGTGCTCAAAGAACTTGATAAATTAATAGAATCTTTGCAATCAATGACGAACAACGATGACGGAAACAAATGTTGTGAAATCTTCATTAATCATTTGGTTGATATTTGCTGCAAAACAGGTAACGTTTGAACAAGTTTTACACTGAACACTCACCACATAGGTGTGCAAACAATACGAGCTTTGACCATTCTTTAATTGTGTTCTGTGTATATATCTGTTTTCAACGAACTAAATATTTATCAGTACTCGTAATATGATGATAATCTCGTTTGTTTAGATTCAATTTTCCAATTACTTCAAAGCGGTCTTGTTCATGTGAAAAATAAATCTTTCATTGACGCATTCAAAACGAAATTTATTGGCAAAATTTTAAAGGATATGAAAGCCGATGATTTAAAACGTTTCGATTTCTATCAAAACCAATTAAGACAACTGTTTGAAATCGGTAACAATGACAAAGAAAACAATCAACTTGTGATTGACTTGATTGAACGAGCATTGACAAACGTTTCTATATCTGAAAATGATATTCTCGAATATACTATCTTAAAGCCTGATAGATCAACACTTATCTATCATATATTGTCTCATAATTGCTATAAAAAATTATCGATTTTTGAAATAGTCATTAAACAAATGGATACTCTGTGGACTCAGTGGGATCAGCAAGGAATATATGAGCGTCATATATTGGCTTGGAAGAAACAAACAGACGAACAACGAAGTGTAGCGAATCAATTATGGAGTGCTGTTAAAAACAAAGTGGGAACATTTGAAGAAATGTTAATGAAAGCAGACACTGACTTAGAGAATAAGAAGAGCATATGTGAGAAAACTGAAGTTTGTATCAAAGTATATTGCGAAAAAGCTTATGACAATCAAAAGATCATCGGAGAAATACACATTACGAAGGATGAACTAAGAAAAAACAAGGTGCAATCTGTTCAAATTTCTCAATCTATTCAACAAATTCATAATTACGTCGATCTACTTGTTCCATATGCAAAATGTCAAATTTGGAAAGATTTTCTCCAAAAAAACCAAGATAAAACGATTTGTAAGTTTTGAAATTTTCAGAATATATCAATAGCAAAAAGCTATGATGTCGTCGTTTTAGTGCCATCATAAAAGCACAAATATCTTGTCATTCAATTTTGTTCGAATCTAATGAACTTTTTAATACATTCGTTAATGAAATTATAACTATTTGTTCAAATTGGAAAAGTCAATCAATCTCACAATTGCAAGAAATATTTCCAAACATGCACAGTGATTTAGATCCATTAAAACAGAAATTAAATACTGATATCATTAACTTTTTTACACTTTTATTTCAATATAAAAAATCTTCAAAAGATTTAAATTATATTTGTCAAGGATACATAAACTTATCCGAATTCTTCCAAATACAATTCAATGATCATCAAAATTTACTATCTAATATGCTGAAAATTGATAAAAACACAAATGGAGTAACGTTCTCAACAACCCATGATCTTTTTAAAAAGCATTTTTATGAATTTTATTCAAGAGATATCAACAAACTAGCTTTGTACTTTGGGAAATCGTTTGAACTTATAAAATTTCTTGATTTAGTGACTACAGATGATATTGAAAATTTACGTGAAGCTGTTAATGATTCTGATGATACATTGATGACTACAAAAGCAACACTTGATTTAGTCATACTGAAGACATTTTTAGTAGCGACTCGTGATGAAATTACAAAGTGCAAACAAGAATCATCGCAGGATCTGGTCATGCAAAAATTATTGAATTGTTTCGAATCTGCTGTGAGAGACGATCAAAGCAAAAATATATTTGAATGTTTCGAATCCTGTAACCCACTATTATCCAGCATTGAACAGGTTCACAATAGTTTGACTCAGCGAGGAATAATGAAAGGAAAACAAATTGTAGATATTATGAAACATGCCTCGTTCAAATTTTTGGATTCTCAAACAAATAAAGAGATAATTAGACTTAACTATCATTATGATGTGACATTAAATTTCAATGAACTCATTGATCTTCGGGATCTTGCACGACTTGTTGATTATTCAAATACAATTAAAGGACAAACTGATTCAACAAAATCGACTAGTGTAATACATTCATTTATTTCTTTTGTTGATACGATTGAAAACATAATCAAACATTTAACACAATTCAAAATGACTGGATATCTTTTTATAGAAACTTCTCTTGAGTTAAACAAAATATTTACATGTAAGGATTGCAATTTCGATGAACTAGTTGCATACAAGACAAAAATTGGAGAGTTTTTAGTCAAATGGGAATGTCAATTGAATAATTTGTACAAAGAATACATTGAATTGACCTATTTTAAGTACGATCAAGTTTGGTCAATCGAAAAGTATCTGCAGAATCGAACGACAGGCGCTAATAATGCTTATCATTTACTGAAATATATTGGCATACAACCTGAATCATTTCCAAATGATATTTCAATCGATACGGAAGATGATCCAGCCAATCGTCTTAGAAATATTGGGAAATTGTTATATAGTAAAACACATTCCGGGATAATAACAAACAAATACGAATATCAAGGCAATAACAGAGTTTTTGTAGTTAAAACATCTGAAGAAGGTGTTATGCGCGCTGTATTATCGTGTTTTAAGCTTGTTGGAGTGTCAGCTCGAGCGAATCGATTGTTTAGCTGTACGGAAAAAACAACATGGATGGAATTAAAAGCATTTGCTTATCGATGTTTTTACTCGAATACGTTTCATTTGTTGATTCGATCTGAACTATTAACGGTATCGATTCAAGACAAATTTATTGAACTTCTACTTCAACTGATCAATTTATCCAATGATCATCGATTTCAAGTCGGAATAATCACAACCTCGGGCGAGGAACATCAACCATTGATTAATGTTTTACGAACATTCGAACTTTACCAACCAATATATGATCATCAAATGTTGAATAAGCCTGATTTAAAAAAAGAAACAGAAACACTTCTCGGTCAAAATTGTTTTCTTATTACATCTGATATGGCTGGTCTTGGTAAATCGACTTATATACGTAACCGAATCGATGAAGCTGGCAAGCAGCACATTAAATTTCCTATTAGCGGTTATATTGATTTGGAAATTTTGGTTGATCGTCTTCATACTTACGTCAATCAATCAACAACTTCGAAAATAGCGATTCATATCGATATTGGAATCGTTTTTGACATTAATAAACTACATGAATTCCTTTATTGTATTTTACTCTTTCGTAGTTTTTGCCACGGATTATTAGCAGTTAGCCTTCCAGTTGAAGTACCAATATATATCGAACTTGATTCATCACCACAAATGGCCAATCTCTATGAAGGGCTTACCATCTTACACTTCTTACAAAAAATAAATGTTCCTCATATAGATTGGGTGCAGATGAATATGAAATGTCTCCCGGGGATTCAGTTGGTCGCCCATTATCTTCGAGCAATTCAAGACAAGAGTATTAGTCAAAAAGAAATCAAGGAAGAAACATTCGCTGAACTCGATCGAGACACTTGTTCAAAACTTTTACTCGAACAATTCGATCTTAAAAATAATGAAAAACAAATCAGTTGGACAAGTATAAAAATCTTAATAACAATTTATTATTATCTATTTTCGGGCTTCTGTAATTGTGCATTCTTTTCTTCGAATCGACCATATGCCGCCGAGCTTCGCATGGATATACTTCAATATTTGATAAAATCATCGAAACAATTTACATCCTATTCAGTCGAATCCGTACGCAAAAAACAGCGATCGTTGGGTGATAGCAACATTAATCTCGATGAAACTATCATTCGCTGGGATAAATTACAACCATTTACAGTTATATTTACTGAGTGGAATGATCCATTATTTGTCTATAAGAATACTACTGTTGTTCCACGTTCGCTGATAAATGCAAAAGTAGAACCTGTTCAAGCAAATATCTTCTATCGAATTTTATTCTACAGCAGTGTCAAACGTGAGCAACAGCAACGAGAACAAGCACAATTTCCCGATCATAATCAACTTAAACATACAGACTTTTTCATTAGACTTGCAGCACTATCAAAAAAGTATTATGGCCAACCAATTTGTAATAGTTGTTTTAAGCAATATGAAAATACCGATCAGTCGTGTATAAACTGTGAGGAAAAGGGTCAGTTGCTTCGACCGAAAACAACGAGGGAATTAGATATCATAGAATTTCAAATGGACATAGCACGTCGACTCGAAAAAGAATATGTATGGACAGCAGATAATTATACAAAAGCGCTTCTCATATATTTAAGAATACAATGTCGTCTTCCAGTTATACTTATTGGTGAAACAGGTAATATTTCCTATCTATTCGTTAATCTACCTGTGCATAATTTTGAAAAATTCTTATTTTATATCATAGGATGTGGTAAAACGGCATTAATACAATGTTTATGTGAAAAGATTTTAGATGATGAACTGGTAGTTTTTCATATGCACGCCGGTATTACAGATGAGAACATTGATCAACAAATGCAGAAGTTTGTAATGAAGGCAAATGAAAGCTCGATCAAAGAGGGAAAGAAACGATTCTGGGTGTTTTTCGATGAATTTAATACAACGCTATGTATCGGTTTATTGAAGGAAATTCTCTGCGAACGTACACTACATGGACGAGAATTACCAGATAATATGCGATTTTTAGCAGCATGTAATCCACAACGATGGAAGAAGAATAGTGGTAGTTTTCAAGATGATATCGGCATAAAAAAAGATTCGTACGATTTCCAACGCTCAAACAGTCATTTAGGTGAAGACTCACTTATATACCATGTTCTTCCTATTCCTGAATCTATGCTTGAATATGTTTGGGATTATGGTTTTCTTGATGGAGAAACAGAAACTTCATATATTCAGGCAGTACTGAATTCATGCGAACAACTTTCGGGTACCATTGTCCTGTACAATTCTACAGTGAAGCTCGTGGCAGCATCGCAACAATTCTTCCGTAAAAATGAAGACACGAGTAGTATATCGTTGCGAGATGTCGCTCGCTTCTGTCAATTTTATAATTGGTTTTTAAGGAATCGTACTGAACCTCAAGACGGTCGTATTTCAAATTACAATAAGTTGAATGAAGCAAGGCTATTAGCTCTTCTCCTTACATATTATCTTCGACTTAGTGGCTCCGATTTACGAAAGTCTTATTTGAATCATATTAAACCGATTCTCGAAGATGGTACGAAAAATGATACTGATATCTCAAATTTTTTAACGGATTTACTCCGAAAAGAGCAAGAGGGACTTATAAAACAGATAGAATTACCACTAGGAACTGCTAAGAATCGAGCACTTTTAGACAATATCTTTGTTCTATACGTATGCACTTTGAATAGGATTCCAGTAATACTTTGTGGTAAACCTGGCACAAGTAAAACATTAGCTGCGAACATCCTTCTCAATAATCTCAAAGGAAAACGATCGAACAAATCTTTCTTTGAAAAATTACCTGAATTAATTCCAGTTTCATACCAAGGCTCAAAAAATTGTACATCCGAAAGTGTATTGAAAGTTTTTGAACGTGCGGATAAATATTTGAATGCCAGAGAAAATAGTGATATTCTACCTGTGATTGTTTTTGACGAAATCGGTCTTGCTGAACTATCTCCACATAATCCATTGAAAGTACTTCATAGTAAATTGGAAACTGATACATGTAAATATGGTTTTATTGGTATTTCGAATTGGCATCTCGATGCAGCCAAAACGAATCGTACGTTATATTTGGCTTGTCCAGATCCAAACAGAGATGAACTTATATTAACAGCTACGACCATATCATCTTCTTTGCTTCCAAATCAAACCAAAGATAATCAAATTAAAGATTATGTTCAGAATCTTGCTAATGCTTATTTCGATTTACAAGAACACTTGAAAACGAACCCGCAATACAATAATTATTTCGGTCTACGAGACTTTTACTCTCTTATTAAAGGAGTTGTCAATGGTTTAATCAATTTTTCCAACAAACAAAATCACAACAGAATCATTAAGACACAACTAGCTATTAATTTTGATGGCGTTCTCGATGGTTCAGATTATCTATGGAAGAGGTTTTGCCATCACACTCAATACGATGGGTCTTTTGATCTCGAAAATCCACCAACGTTCATTGAAATGATAGCTCAATCTTTTACAGACCGTAAGGGTCGATATCTAATGTTAATTGGTGACAATGAAACTCTTAATGATTATGCAGAACGATATATCAAGAAAAAACAACCTAATACACGAACACTCATTGGAAGTTCTTTACCCTATGATTCAATACCAGGTGCTAGTTACAGTGAACAATATAATCAAAGAGTATTATTGGATGTTATTTTTTCTGCCGAATCGAATGTTACTCTAATAATGCGACGAATGGACCATATTTATGCTAATCTCTACGATTTATTTAATCAAAACTTTCACAAATCAGAACAGAGAAAATTTTGTCGAATAGCGTTCGATAATATCAACTATCAACGGGTTCCTATTCATGAGGATTTCTTTTGTATTATACTGGTTGAACGAAAAGATCTTCTAGAAAAAGATCCTCCTTTTCTCAATCGTTTCGAAAAGCACGTTTTTGGTACAGATTCTCTTATTCACAGCTGTTACACTATAATTGCATCAAATCTATTGCAATGGATTAACAATTTAGCCATGTGTAGTTCAAATAAGGCTTTTCCCCAACGAAAGAATCTATTTGTTGATTACAATCCAGATAATATTCGTATCTTAGTTATGGATGCATTTGATTCATTGAACATACCTGAAGATTATAATGACAATCAAAGAGATACCGTTATTGAATTTTGCAAAAAACAATTAATCCGTACAAGTTCATTTGATCTCCTTCTTCTTCTGTCATATCAGATGAAAAAGAATGACAAATTTAAAACATTAATCGATCAATGTTATGAAATACGTAATAAACTGTCATTTTCAAATTTAATTGATCAAACATTGAAAGAACCAACAATTTCAAATCATGTCATTTATACTTATACACAAATTTATGATAAAATCGAATATTTAAATGAGAATAATCTCGTGGTAGAAATCAAAATTGCTGCTTTTAAAACTGAATTTGAATTAAAAACCAAAATCAAAGAATATTATCAATCGAAAACTCATCGTTTATTACTTATTCGTGTTGATTATCATCATGAACATAAACATTTACTTTTTCTCAAACATTTGATACAAAATGTAAACGTAGAACTGAAAGACTTTGATGTATGGTTAGTGCTCCATTTACAAAGAAATCTTATGAATGATAAACAAGATGATGTTTTATTTAATGGTTGGATTTCTCTTATGATTGATAATCTTAATCAAAAGGAACTTATGCAAATTGATGTTTTAACAAATCCATCATATCCTAATCTTCTAAGTCACGCAAATTTTTCTTTATCACGTACGATGTTTAACGAACTTGTCAATCAATCTTTCGTACGTATTCGTTATACAGTCAAATCGAAAAACAAGGAACAGCTAATCAATCAACGGCGTGATTCAATACTTGAATTATTTACCTTCGGTAACATTGATAATCAACCTTTGAATGATATTATCAAAACTCTTTTAATAGAATTGATAAAAACGGTTGATTTAAATTATTCATATTCAGAATCAAAAGATTGGCGACAAGACTTATTGAATAATCCAACAATTGTTGGTTCTTGTCGATCGATTGACAGTGCTTTACAAATGACGATTTTACTTTTCTATTGTGATTATTTTCTGGCGTTTTTAGTTGAAGCTGAAAAATCATCACTATTCGATTCTTGTCGCTTTCTCAATTCAAAAAAAGGAAAGACGTACGAACATCTGAAATGTATTTGGTTTGATTGTTTACGATCAGTTAATCAATCGATTCCAAAAACAATTACAATTATAGATACTGTTGAAATTCCACTTATCTTTGATCTTCGACTACCTTGTGGACGATTAGAACAACAAATCCTTCGTCATATATATGAAACGACAAAAAATGAGACCGAAAACCTTCGTGTTAATTTAGCGATGGAAAGATTACGAAATACCAGTGTGTATGGAAAGAATATTCATACTATTCTAGATGATACGAATTTGTTTGAATATTATTTTCATGATCAAATTGTAATACTAATGGATGACTTAGGAATTAATCATTTATCTGTACCATTCGTACAGAAATTATTCACAATGAATCGAACTTTAAGTCAAAGATCAAATGAAATATTTCCTTCTGGAACAAGACGAATCGATTAAATTATTAAATTTATCCGAAGTCGGATTCGCAATTATCGGAGAAGATAAATGGAACTTTGAAGAACAATTTTGTATTTTGAACAACAACGAAACAAAACCATTCAAAAACTCAACTAATCTATACGTTCTTATTCAATTACAACATCAGTTTTATCAAGTTCCACCACAAGAATCTTTTGATAAAGATAGAATTTATCGGTGTGATTATGATCCACTGATCGAAATTAGTTTGATGAATTTAATTGAATTACTCATTTCACCATCAACTATTGAAAATGCTGATAGTATTGTACAATTATTAAATACATATGGATTTATTGCACAAAGTATACTCTATTTAAACAATTATGAAATAAACAATTTAGAAAAATTACGTTCATTTGAAAGTCTTCTACGTTGTGTTATGGAATTATTACCCAATGATAAGGCACTAGTGGCTTTCAAAGATAGTTGCCACAAGCCTTACGACAAAACTATATTTGATGGTACTTTTTCAACATGCAATGACATCAATAAGTTCATGAGAATTTTAACTAAGAGAATAAATAAGAATAGAGGTGATCAACACGAAATTAATTCGTTTACTAATTGTCGACCATTGTTGAAACTTGAAGTTGAATTCTTAAAAAATTGGCTAATTGATCATGGTGACGAATATTGTACTGTGCTTGATTATATTTACAAATCAAATAGAAATTTCTGGCATTATTCAGCGAAAATATTTAAATATATTGATAAAAAATTTGATTTAATGTCAATTGTTCGAACCAGTTTTGACGAAATATCATCGATTGAAGAACTTAAAGAACTCGATAAATATTTGTCTCAATCAAACAATGAAACACGGAAAGTTCAACGAATTATGATCAATCGCATTAATAATTATCTCTTAAATGATGTTTTCAATGAAAGTGAAGAAAACATCAACGAAAGAAATCGATCGACGCTTGAAGAGTATTTAACTAAATATTTTTATTTTTTTCAAACGAATATTAATGCTTATCTATTTGAATCTGAATTTCAAACGGTTGTCTTAATTGCATGGTTGAAGACTTATCTTCAAATTTATGCATTTTTGTTATATGAAGATCTTCACAGTACGATTATGGACAATATTGATAAATTTTTAGCACAGACAGAATCACCATTTTGTTCGACTCTAAAAATATTCATTATGAAAAATTTATGCCAAAATTATCGTGTAAATCTCGACGAATTATATGAAAATTTCGTCAATCGTACTTGTCTCTGGATAAGAAGAATGTTTTCACACCATCAATATCAACAACAACGAAGATTTAATCAAAGTATTATTCTTCCAACACCGTTATACCAGACTAAAGAAGAAAATATGAAAATTAACAATATATTGGAAAACAATGCACAAACACATGAGTGGAGAAGTTTGATCAACGATTGTTCAACGAATCAGCAATTGACGTACTGTTTTATCATGTCATTTGTACATCAATATGGCAAAATTCAGAAAAAAGATACTTCAAATATGGCATTTAAAACTATTGTGGATCTTTTGGAGACAGGACTGTTTCAATGTTTTGGACAGATAGAGAATACATTTTTGTGTTTACTCTATAATAATTTTCCTCGTGATAAATCATACTTTCAATTAAATGAAGAAATGGGACCAAATGAATTACATCGACGTTTGCTTGCACTCAACATTACTGCCTTATTTCTTTCTTACAAAGCTGATAAAAAGTTTACTTTCGTTAATTCTATACTCTTTAACGAACATGGGGAAATGCCACAAAATTATGAAGATCATTTACAAAGTATATATTTACCCGGTCTCATATTTGATGATCGAAACAATACAAATGAAGAAAATCGCACGTCTAGACTTGGTTATCATAGTATGAAATCTTCCCAAATGAGCAATATTCATGAAAAACCTGATCATCTTGAATTGTCTATATCGTATCGTTTCATTCATATGATTATTCATGCGATTCTTCTCGTCTTACATGAACTCGAGCTTCTCGAAAATTATCGAGTGAATTATGATTATTGTAGAGATCATTTTGAAAGGGACTACGAGTTGATATGCCAATTGTCGGATGATCCTGATCAATGTTATATATGGTTATACAAATTGATTAATCATTTGGTCAATGTTGATTTTCAACAAGATAATTCACAGGGTTATGATAAAAATGTTATCGAATTTGAAAAATATGTTGAAAATCAAGTAATTATTCCTCATATTGGATCCATTGACAATGAAATTCGAGAATACAAATTGGCCTATAACAAATATGTGAAAGGTGGGAATACTGATTTGACATTATATGAGTTGATTGATGAACTTGTCAATGATGAAAACACATATCCATTATTAAGCTTCTTTAATACAACTAAAAATCATATAATTAATCCAGTAGATTCATTTCAAATTAAACTTCAGACTCTACCTGGTGCTGACAAGAAATATCCAATGACGATGTTCTTTTTTAAACAATCTGATGATTATGAAAATATTCGATATTTATATCCAATAATCACATTTGTTGAATATTTGAGACAAAAATTCAATTATAGAATAACACGTAAAGATGCTGAAAGAAAAACGATTGAAGAAGTTCTTTCCAAAGATTCGGATAAAACATCATCGAAATTATACGAAAACTTTATAGAAGCATGGTATCAACTCAAATTGAAAGAAGTCTACGTCAATTCTCAACCAATCAAGTTTGAACATAAATATTCATTAAAGGAATTTAGTCAACGAACGGAAATTGCTAAATTATTCATAAATTCACCAAAAGATTCGAATAGTTGTCTACTAATTGGTTGTATTAAAACAATTAGTGATTTACAAAATAAGATTGTTCAACATTTTAATAATATTATCGATTCGAATTCAACAGATAAAAGGCTTCAATCACAGAATGTACCATTACAATCTCTTCAACCAAAACATCTCTTATTTTTGGACAAAGATATGATTAGTACGAAATTGATGGATGATGCATCAGTCGTCAATCATGAATATGGAATGAGTAAAGAAATCATCTATGATTTTGAGGAAATTGAATTTATGATTCGTGAAAAAGTTAGCTGCTTACCATTGATTGATACAGGCAGAATAAATATGTTCAATTATCAATTTGAATTGTCTGAAGAAAATGCTTCACTAATCAATGATATTCGCAGAATTAGTGAACAAAAAGCATTGCCGGAGAAGAAACGAGATGAACTACAGAAATCAATTGATAGCACTCAAAACGGTGATATTCTTCATTGCATCGGTTTACTCGATCAAATATTTACATATTTACGACACTGTGAACGTCAATCTGTGGAAAATCTTACGATTAAGACATTTATTGAACAACATATTGGATCGAAAACAGCTTTCAATGATGAATTATTTCAGGACTCACAATTTTTGAATACTCAATTAACATACGTCGTTGATCTCTATCAACTATTCGAAGAAATTGGATTCGATAAAATTTTACGAAATCATATCGAAAAAGATCTAAGAGGACCATTACTAATTTCAATTGATGATGAAACTTGTCTTATCGATCAGTTTATTCAGATGACATCTGGAAACATAAAAATAGCAGCCGGTCTGAAAACCTTAGATTGTTGGATTAACATGTTGAAAAGACTTCTTTTACGAGTCTCAATGAATACGAACTTAAAATTTGATGTACCGTTGCAAAACTTTGCTTGCCGATCTGATTTTTGGACGGTTGACGTCACAAAAAATGATATTCAATCTTTTAAAATTACAGATGATATTCAACTACGACATGCACTTATTATTCTTAAATGTTTAGAACAAAGAAAAAGTAATCCACAAGGTAAAAAGCCATCATGCTCAACCAATCAACGACTCAATACTGGAAATTCAGTTGAGCCCAAACAAACATGGTTTCCAACTTCAAATACATCTCAAAGAAAAGTTATTGATCCTAATCCGACAATTAAGAAAAAGACACGGGTTTAATTAAATCCTTTTTTCCTTTTAATTGGAGTCTACGAAAAATAATCGAAAGAAAAAAGATCGAACGCAAATTAATCGGCGTAAATTGTGAACACAAAGATAACTTTTTACTTACATGATAAAGATATCCACGAGAAGAAACGAGTCGATTGCTTTTCATGTACATCAATTCTCGTATCGACCTTTTTTCGTTTGATTATTTTTCGCGTTTGCCTCTTATGGTTTTACTCTTTTTTCTTCATATATTATATCACTAACAATAACATTTATAACGTATAAAATCACAGTTTTCAAAATCTTGTTTTTTTTCTACAAAACGAGTTCTAAAGTTTTTGTGACTAGAGCCATATATTCCTTCAAACAGGATGAGAAGAGAAAACATAATTTTTTTAACAGAATTCCGAAACGTGGAATAATCTATAGCGCAAAAGTCTTCGTATAAAATGTCTTGGAGTTTTTCAACCATCTCAAAGCAAGGAATCAGCGTACAGCATAGTCAATTATGACCAGTTTGATGCTACTTCGAGTCATGCGCTCGACATTCTCTTCGAATGTAAGTTTAATAATCTTACACATACACACTGTTAGCGATTTTTCTCATGCCGGGTTTGGCGTCAACGATGTTTTGATGTACTTTTTTAACTTATCCTGCCGCATTGGTTACTTAGTTACTTATCCATTCTGTAATGGTAGTTACGACGAATCAATTTTGTGCGATTAGATATCCATATAAACACTTTTTCAAAAGTCATACATGGACTTTTGTAGCATCTGCTCTGTACACCATGAAGATTCGATGAAGGAATTCGAAGCTCATTTTCCCAACTACCACGTCTTTTTCAACCGGGTACAAATACATTCGGTGATTTTCTTATCGCGGTTGATCTGTCAATACTGGTTCAACGGATTTCTTCATTCGATCACATCCATAATCTCTTAGTCCTCGACATAGAAAATCGCCAAAACAAATACCAATTCGTTACCTATTGCTCAACACCTGACGATCATGTTCCCACGCAGATATTCGAAAAGATACTACAACGAAACTCCAAGACAATATTCCTTGGTGACCTCAACGCTAAGCATCGCTCGTGGTCGGACTCGCTTGTGATAGCTTTCCAACTATCGGAACATACTTTCCAGATGCAACTCGACGATCTCTACAACTTTGCGTAACAACACTTTGCTGCCAGACTCTTCCCTCACGCCGAAAAATGTCAAAAATCGACCCCAATCCATGAAAAACCTGGATTTTATCGCCTAGTTTCGTTTAAAAGTGCCTTCCAATGAAATAATCACCAACTTCAGATATATCTCGACTACCACTATTGACTTCATATCTCATTTATCAATTTCCAATATGTTGTCATCAAGAACAACGCTCATTAGCAATAGATCAGCTACATACGTATGTTCCTTCCCGATCTTCCGCGATGTTTATTATGCTGGTTTACATATCAATAAGTTCTACTTCGATTATATCACTTCCTACTGTCTATAATTGCGACTGTGCATAGTTCGGCGTAGTTTTCTGGGACGATAAGGGTTACAACCACGTAGGCCGACAAAATTTATTGACTTAAAGTTGAGACATGCAATTCGATTGGTGTATTTTGACTTAAATCCTCGAGAATAGAAATAGACGATTCACACATTAATTGAATATCTATTCGCCTGATATCTTCATCTTTTTTCCGTCAACTACAGCCAATTATTCTGATGGACGGCAACGAAAGAAATAACAAATTGTGCATACGTATATATTGTTGAAATTTAATCAAGTCATTTAAACGTCGTTCATCATGGGTATCACCAAAAGCAACAAAGTGGACACACACATACTCGATCTGCCGGATGAAATATTACATATTATTTTTTAAAAACTGAGTACGATTGATATGTTATATTCGTTAGTGGGTGTGAATCAACGATTTGATTGCTTGGGACTCGATTATCTGTGTGTACATGATCTCGATTTGGTAGCAAAAAGGACTGATACTCCTATTATCTCGGCTGATATTGATATTCGCGATAAAATCTGCAAGATAGTTTTACCTCAAATCGATGACAAAATAACTAATCTAAGTGTTGTTTCATACTGGTCGTTTTCCTAAACTGTATTCGTTATCACTGATCAATTATACACCGGACATTTTCTTCAAAGCTTTAACAGGCACGGTTTGAAATTTGATTTGCCATAATGAACTTTATGTTTGCATTTTCATTCAAGATCGTACATTGTTTCGTCTACTTACTGATCAAATTACACATTTCACAGCAAGTATTTACTGTATTGAAGAAAACAAACTAATTCAAATAGAACCACCTATATTCGAAACGATCCTGTCATATGATAAACATTTGACTAATGTAACTCTGTTTCAGCATTCTTCGAGAGGTGGTTATCCAGCATTTTACATTCGACATATTTTGACTATAAGTTCTCTATCTTCAACAATCACGAACTTAACAATATATGTTAAAACATTTGAAGATTGTCTTTTGCTTCTTAATGGTTGTCTC